AAACTGCACTAAAAATGTTTTGTTGATAGATAAAATAAGCCTTTATCAGCCAGGGAGATGGCTCAGCGGCATGAGCACCTGCCTGGCAAGCGTAAGGTCCTGAGTTCAATCCCTGGTAGCAGGAAAAAAAAAAAAAAAATGGGGAAAGGGGACAAAGAGAGAGAGAACACTCATCGTCATACAAAATATAAAATGAGTTTGAAAGATACTTCATTGGCCATTATTTTTTTGATGTAGAATTTAAAGTGTCTTTACTTATAGTCGGTTAAAAGAAAATGGTTTGACAGTGATATTTATGTAAATATTTCCTAGCCTTTCCCTTGGGTCTCTTAAAGTTACCTGCCCTAGTTTTCCTGGCATCCCCATGGGCATCAGTCCCTGTCTCTGTGAGTGGCTGCCTTCATAGAGGTCACTGACTGTCCAGAAGACGAGAAAAGAATGAGCCTGCAGCAGTGTTAGAGGCACAGGTGTGTTTAGAAGTACACCTCTCTCTTCTAGCCTTTCTGCTTTTTGGTTTCTTTTGTGTGGCAGGCAGCCAAGATGGCTATGCCCATCTAGGTTTCTGTAAAACTGGAATTCACCAAAGTGGGATTAAACTAGTCCTCTGTTGGTTCTAGGCTACACCCCTTTTCCTCTAATTATCCTTACCCCATATTTTCCTTGAGGCATAATATTTCTAGTTTGGACTACAGGTTTGTCATTGTTTAATTGAAAGAAGGTAGCACAGATTATAGACAGCATGTGACTGCTCGTAATCACAACATTTTAGTACAGAGTATGTGACATTCTCTTTTGTCTACAGATCTGTGAAAAGAATCTCCATGAACTTTGATAACCCTGAGATATTTTCTAGATTTTGAAAATGTCGTGTGTATCCCATTATCAGTTATTGATGGGAAGTAGGAAAGGACAGATGAATAATAAAGGTGATGGTCTTGTTGAAGTATCATTTTATCATTTAGTAAGCGGCCCAAAAATGAGTAATCTTAGAAGTTGTTGAAGCCCATGATTAAGACATTAATATGGCAGCAGATAGGAGGGAGGTCTACACTTTTCTACTCGTAATAGGGGTCAAGTGGAGTGGAAGGGAAAGAATGAGTAGAAGGATGTGTTGATGAAAAGGAAACAGCGGAACTGTCCGCGTGGCCCTTACACTTCGCCTGTTTCCTGGCTCGGCGTGTTCATACGGTGGACTAACGTTCACATGTCTTGGAAAGGAACCTAAGTGCCTTTGGTCTTGCGAAATCCATGATTCTATAAGCTAGGCATTCCAGGTAACAGAAATGTGTTCCACTAACTGAATGATCTTTCATTGTATTAATAATGCTTCTTTCATCCATATTTGTGTTTTGAGGGACAGAATCAGGTATGTTGTATTTTCCATAAATAGATCACTTTAACTTTGAAAATCTGGGGCTTGTGGGTTAGCTTAGTTGTTTAAGCACCTGCTGTGGCAAACCCAGTCAGGCACAGGGGACAGTGGTTCGATCCCCAGCTCCGCATTACTTAACAGATCTGCCCTTAAGGCAGCCTGAGCCAGAAAAAAAAAAAAAAAAAAAAACACTTTGAGAATCTGTGACTGCAAATTGCATTATGATAAAATGATAGAAAATTGGTTCATATTCTCATGCATGTTTTTTTTTCCCTTAAGACAAATATGGTCTCTTTAGAAGGCCTTACCAAAGTAGTTGATCCCTCTCAGCTAACTCCTGAGTTCGATGGCTGCCTGGAATACAACCATGAAGAATGGATTGAAATCAGAGTTGCTTTTGAAGACTACATTAGCAATGCAACTCACATGTTGTCCCGGCTAGAGGAACTTCAGGACATCCTCGCTAAAAAGGAGTTGCCTCAGGACCTAGATGGGGCTCGGAACATGATCGAGGAGCATTCGCAGCTCAAGAAGAAGGTAATCAAGGCCCCCATTGAGGACTTGGATTTGGAGGGACAAAAGCTGCTTCAGAGGATTCAGAGCAGTGATAGCTTTCCCAAAAAGAACTCTGGATCAGGCAACGCAGATCTTCAGAACCTCTTGCCTAAGGTGTCTACTATGCTAGACAGGTTGCACTCAACCCGGCAGCACCTGCACCAGATGTGGCATGTGAGGAAATTGAAGCTGGACCAGTGCTTCCAGCTGCGGCTGTTTGAGCAGGATGCTGAGAAGGTAATGGGCAGGCACACCAGGAGGATATGGAGGGGAGCTTCGGGCAGCAGGTCTGGGCAGCCGGGCTGGTGTGGTCGGGGAGGGGGAGAGGGGCATAAAAGGGGAATGGCAGGCAGTGCTCCCTACATTCAGTGTAGACTGTGGGTCATTCAGAAACTGCAGAGTTGATTTTCTTTTTGCTCACTGTGCAGTACAGGAATGTTTTAGAAATTTTGAGTTAAAATTATTGCAGTTTTGATGTAGAATGCTTGTGGGACAGACAAAAATATTTTCAGTTAAAAGGTGATAATTTAACAGCTTTGTGTTATTGAAAGCAATAACAATATGCATTTTGGTAATAGGCACTCTTCCTCTCACACAAAGCCAGTGACTATTCAGATCTATATTTGAGTGCATTTTTAAAATAAATGGTGAGTAATGCATTAAAAATAAGTTTCTGTGGCTAGTGAGATAGCTCAGTGGACTAAAGTGCCTTCTCAGGCCAGCTCAGGCAGGTGCAGCGACAGTGGTTCCATCCCCAGCACCACGTGCTGCACCAGCCCTGCCCCTGGAGCCAGCTGAGCCAGCCACCAAAAAAAAGGTTTCTGGGTAATGCAGGCAATAATTATTTATGGTCTTATGTTTTTTTCTTTTTCACTAGACCAAACAAAAATGAATTCTTATCAATCACTGGCTAATATTTTCTTAGCACTGTATTTTAAGCCATAAATGTAGGTGAATTAATCATTCTCAAGTTCATGACTTTTCAAAAAGACATAGACACTTTTTTAAACATAAAATCTTACAGAAATCTTTAGTAGAAAAGTTTTTGTTTTTGGGGTTTTTTTTTTTTTTTGGGGGGGGGGGGACCGGGGATTGAACTTAGGCCCTTTGCACTTGCCAGGCAAGTGCTTATTCTACTAAGCCATCTCCCTGGCCCCTAGAAAAGTTTTTGAAAGGTTAAAATCCGGTATTATTTTTTGGTGCATTTTAAACTAGTATATTATTAAAGATACTAGAAACTTTCTCCAATTATTTATAAAAACCAACTGCTATTTCTGGGATCCTAGGTTTAAGACACTGCAGTAAAACTCAAGCCATTTGACAGTTATTCCTATTTCTCTGTTTTCTATATATTTTCCTTGGGAATGCTTTTGCTACTTTTCTCTTTTTGGTGGTGCTGAGGATCAAATTTAGGGCCCTGTGCATGCTAGGCTGGTCTCCACCATTGAGCTGCAGCCCCAACCCTCTATAAGACCTTATTTTTTTTTTTTTTTTTTTTAGCGGAACCAGGGATTGAACTCACGCCCTTTCACTTGCCAGGGAGGCACTTATTCCACTGAGCCGTCTCCCCAGCCCCCAAGAACCTTAATTGATAGCCTTGTCCAAGTGGTGTTTTAAACCATAAGGAGAGCCATCATGAGAATGTTCCCATGTCCTGTTAGTTTTTTTGGTTACATTTTATTGTTTGCAAGTGCTCAGGTTTCCAGACACTTCTTGCATTAAGGAGTATTTGCTGCCAGTGGTGTGTGGCAGAGTCAACATCCAAAGACTTTGTATGTCCCTAGTTCTACTTCCTACTCTTCAGTTGAAGAACCATGTGGCAGATTGAAGCAATTTGGGGGGTAGAGTCAAAGATAAGAGGTTTGATTAGCCTGGGGGCTGGCTGAATGCCTCTTCCCTGTTTCTTAACTCCTTGTCAGGAGATATAAGATTTCTTACAGATCTGTGAGTTCATTTGCTGAGTTGAGCATCTAGATACCTCGAGGAGAGGTCAGAGGAGGGAAGTCACCCTTGCTGTAGCCCATCAGACCTTTCTCTTTCTGCAGTGATTCCAGGTTGTCTTTTTCCTTCTGGTAGATGTTTGACTGGATCACACACAACAAAGGCCTGTTTCTAAACAGCTACACGGAGATTGGGACCAGCCACCCCCATGCCATGGAGCTTCAGACGCAGCACAATCACTTTGCTATGAACTGTATGGTAAGCTATCGGCAGAGCAGGCGAGTGCTGGCAAGTCAAAGCATTGTAGCAAGCAGGAGGTACTCAGCACTCCTGTCCCACTATCTGCCACAAGCAGCGGAGAGACTGGTGTGATTGCAGCAGCTGACCTTCAAGTGGGAGTCTCCAGTGTTAGAGTCTGAGTGTCTTCTTTTAAGTGTAAACAGTGAGATTTGAACCAGTTACTTGGCTAGTTGAGAGAGTACAGAGCTCCAGGAAAGCTGGAGCAGAGGGCAGCATGGGCAGCCTTCGGCTTCTGCTTTCCTCGTGGCACACTCCAGTCCTCTGACTTGGTAGCTTTTTCCTAACTGACTGAAGGCTGGGGTCTGCCTTCACCGAGCCTTCCCCCACCCTGGCTCTCTGGGGTTGATGCATTGGGTGCCTGTGTACTGCAGGACTGTGACTCATTAAACAGTGAATTTTTAATAGTGCCTGGGTTCCATTTTTATGGTTAATGTAACTAACATGAACTACAACTATGTGTTATTCTATATCTATAGGAAATGTGCTCACTTCTGCAGAAAGTTAAGTTTCTAGAAATTTTCTCTTCAGGGATAGGGAGTTTGGGTTTGGATTTGAAGCCAGCACTGTAAGAATTAACCACTATTAAATCTCATAACATTTGTTACAGAATATTAAAGCAATATGAACAATACAGTCTTCATTTAAATTAAATCAGGAACATGCCATTCAATTAAAATTTGTTCAACAGGGACATAACTTAGGTAGTTTCAAAGATAAGGTTTAGCAGTATAAATTTTTGTAATAAACTATCATACATAATTTTAGAGTTGTAGAGTTTCAGGTTAGAGAATTTTCTGTTTAAATGACATAGACAAGGACAGCTGAACTGTTAGCCTTTGGGCAGTAGCTTCTGAAGAGAAGTTCTTGGGCTGGTGACATAGCTCGGTGGTCTCATGCGCCTGTGTAGGCAAGCCTAGGCAGGCACATGGGACCGCGGTTCAATCCCCAGCTCCACATGCTGCACCAGCCCTGCCCTCAGGGTGGGCTGAGCTGGCCAATAAATAAAATGAAGAGAAGTTCTTCCCCCAAGAATTATTACCTAATTTTCAGAATCTTTTGAAACTTTAGCTAATATCAAAAGACATAGTTCACTGTATCACTTACTTTAGAAACTAGAAATATTAAAATATATTCTAGAAATGATCAGAAAATATCCCTGCCTGGCTTTGTTAGTGTCAGACTTGGGAACTGAGAGAGTAAGAAGCATAGTGAGGAAGACAGGCAAGGAGTTTGGGACGTGGACATTTAAATGGTGACTCTTGTGTGTACTCTATGACCTTGAGGAGGCTGTTGGACCTCTTTGAGCCTCAGATGCCTTGTGTATAAAGTGGCGGTGCTGTCTACCTGCCGTGGTGTGACGTGTTTACTCTGTACCTATAGAACTCTGAAGTGTAGTGTGATGTGTCGTAAGCATTTGATAAATGATGGTTATTACCTGTGATGTTATCAAGATAATTACAAATAAAGGACACTAAGTATGGATGGTATCTATTGTTTTTATTCCCCAAGATTTTTTTTTTTGGTACCAGGGTTTGAACTCAGAACTTAGCACTTGCCAGGCAGGTGCTTATACTGCTGAGCTATCTCCCCAACCTCTCTTATTCCCCAAGATTTAATTTGTATTTTCTTTTAATTTTCTGCAACCGATCTATATTACTTTTCTAAGGTAAAATTTTAATTAGACTGTGGTAGCTTTGAACTGTGAATGGTGACAGCTGCTGGAGCTAGCTTTTCGGACCCGTTCTTTCTCTGGTTCTAAACTCCTCCATGAATCTTTAGGAACCATCCATGATATTTATTTATACAGTGCAACACAGTAATCTTTAACCCTAGTTGCTGCCCTCTGTCGTGGTTTTTGTTTTTTTTTTAATGTACCAAGAGTCGAACTCAGTAGTTTGTGCTTGTCAAGCAAGCACTGTGCCACTGAACTATATCCCTGGCTCCATAGTGTTTTGAATAATTTTTTGACAAAATAAAAATATTAAAGACCAATACAGAAAGTTGACAGTTTTTAGAGAAATCATGTTATAAAGGATGTCAACAGTTATGTCTTTTTGCTATAACATATATTTAAAAGGCCCTGTTAATAAAAATCTAGGTGTAGGTGCTTCCAATGTAGGGAGCTATACATTTCCCTCTCTGTGGATAGTTGTTTAATCTGTTGGCCACGATAGCCCTTTCTGTGTGCTAAAGAAAAGGGGAAAGTATGGTACACTATACTTGGGATGTGAAGGTAATACATAAAATATAAAAAAATCTAAGTAGGAGTGAGTTTCATCAGTACTTCCCCCAGTAGAGCACCTAAGTTGATAGTTCCTTTCCAGGCCCTGAGTAAGAGCATCTTGTGCTCCTCCTAATAGTCTACTTAGATGAGTTTTTAGTCTTCAAGGATTCAGAGGATTGGGGAGATAGCTCGGAGGTGTAAGTGCCTGCCTGGCAATCGCAAGGACCTGGGTTCGATCCCTCGTACCACATGTCATGCTGGACCCAGAACCTTGGGCTTACCTGCTGGCCACCA